AATATACCCAATGACCTGAAGGATCATGTGTGTTCATTCAAAGAAAGGTTTTCCTATTAATTAATTAGCAAAGAAAAGTCCTTCCCTTGTGGATTTTCTTTATGGGCAAGGAAGCGATTTTCTTCACCTAAATTCCAGGAGGTCGTAAATGTATCGGGTGTCAGCATTGCTATAGAACCAAGGCCTGTTCAGCTTCCTGGGGTGTTACAGAGTATTTGTTAAATCTAGCTAACAAAATATATATTGTGTGTTTGAGTGGTCCAGACGCTACAGCTGAAATCAGGGTTTCCAGACATTTGAGCACAATTTAAAACCTAATAATCATGAGAAACATTTAATGTTTCAATCTGAAAATGAGACTGAAATCATGAAATCACACATTGTTAGTTTATACAAGCCATTATTAATATTTGTTGTGAAACTGATTCAGACTTTGTCAGAGATTTCAGTGAGTCTCATTTGATCTGAGAATGAGAATTTAGTTTCTAGACTAAATATTAATATTTCATTCAGCATTGGTTACTATGTTGTTGCTAGTGTTCTCATTGGTCAGATATGATTAAGATGATTTATTTTAACTCTTCATCACATGTTTAAGCTGAATAAATGCACTTGTTTTCTGATCTGATGTTCAGATCAACAGACTCTTACTCGTGTGATCTGGATTAAATATTGAAACATGATGAAAGATGAAAGCAGGAAGATCCAGAGCTACAGATTACTGACTATTGATCGATAAGATCCTCAGAGAGTCAAGAGTACAGAAGAATGGAAAGAGTGTGTGAGTGAAGGAGGTTGTGAATGTGTGTAGATGTGTGTTAGTTACAGGATCAGAGAAGGACACTGTTCCTCCGTCATAGTCCAGATTCACTCTCACACGCTCAATCTTACGTTTAACATCAAAACCAGAACCTGGAAACAAACCATACGTCACAAACCAGACACCAGTGTTAAAGAAACCCCGTCTCTTCCTCTGGTTTGATGCTGTAGTTACTCCAAGTCTCCAGTGTTTACTCTGTTTAAGCTCCACATCCCAGCAGTGTGTTCCTGAGTTAAACCCCTCTGAACCCAGAACACAGCGATCACAGTCAAATCTCTCTGGATTATGAGGAACAGGTTGATCATCACCGCTGTCTCTCACACTGGTCAGATCATCAGACAGAACGAGACGTGGATGAGCCGTGTTTGGATCCAGAATCACAGGAGCTGATGAGACACAATCAACAGATGCTGTTATTCTGATGTTCATATAATGATCAAGAGTGAACACAACACAGATGATTATGAATTGTGATCAAACACATCAGACATGTTCCTCTCATCACTGTCAGTCATTCTCTGTGTGATTTATCAATACTGACCGTTACATCAGAAACAGTGAGGGACACAAACTCATTTCTTTTACGCTCTCATTTATATTACATTACAGTCAGAAGCTGCTATTAATACAACATCTTACCTTTCAACAGAACTGTACACATGATTTCATATTCAAACGAGATAAACTATATAATAATAATGCAGAAATAATGATTATATCTATATGATTCTCCTCAGTGTTTCTCTTGTTTGAATCACAAAGCTTTTACTGAATGCTGCCTATTGTTATTAATAAATAAACACTAGATATTATTCCACAATAATGTGGTGAAATAATAATAATAATACTAAGAATATTAATAATAATAAAAATGTTATTATTATTATTAGTAGTAGTAGTAATAATAATAATACGTTTTATTAATAATAATACCAACAATAAGCTTGCTGATATTAACAAAAACTACAACTAAAATTATTCAGTTATTTAATTATTCAGTAATTAAAATAAAGCTTAAAATAAAATATAAATATTAGATGATAATCTAAAAAAATAAAAAATAATGATTAGAAAAGTTGATCAATGTGAAGTATTCAAAATTGTAAAAATTAAATATAATTAGTTATAATTATACATATTAAAATGATGCTAAATACATTTTTACAGTAACAAAAAGAACAAAAACGTATACA